GTGGGTTATTGATTTAGGTGTAGGTTATAGGGGCTGGGGTGGGCTAAAAGCTCTCTTCAGCAGACTGTGGAGAAGAGTCTGCTGTAGAGGAACTCAGGTAAAGATCTCTTCTTGACGACCTATCTGAGCGTCTGTCTCTTCTGATTGGTTTCAATGTTTAACGGCTGATGCATCTTAAGACCAACTGTTCCATCTTACGAGTAACTATTCCATATTACGACCAACTATTCCATCTTATGACCAACTATTCCATCTTACGAGCAAATATTCCATATTACGACCAACTATTCCATCTTACGACCAACTATTCCATCTTATGACCAACTATTCCATCTTACGAGCAACTATTCCATCTTACGACCAACTATTCCATCTTACGACCAACTATTCCATCTTACGATCAACCAAGCCATCTTACGACTAACTATTCCATCTTACGACCAACTATTCCATTTTACGAGCAACTATTCCATCTTACGACCAATTATTCCATCTTTCGATCAACCAAGCCATCTTACGACCAACTATTCCATCTAACGACCAACTATTCCATCTTACGATCAACCAAGCCATCTTACGACTAACTATTCCATCTTACGACCAACTATTCCATCTTACGACCAACTATTCCATCTTACGATCAACCAAGCCATCTTACGACTAACTATTCCATCTTACGACCAACTATTCCATTTTACGATCAACTATTCCATCTTACGACCAATTATTCCATCTTACGAACAACCAAGCCATCTTACGACCAACTATTCCATCTAACGACCAACTATTCCATCTTACGATCAACCAAACCATCTTACGACTAACTATTCCATCTTACGACCAACTATTCCATTTTACGAGCAACTATTCCATCTTACGACCAACTATTCCATCTAACGACCAACTATTCCATCTTACGATCAACCAAACCATCTTACGACTAACTATTCCATCTTACGACCAATTATTCCATCTTACGACCAACTATTCCATCTTACGATCAACCAAACCATCTTACGACTAACTATTCCATCTTACGACCAACTATTCCATCTTACGACTAACTATTCCATCTTATGACCAACTATTCCATCTTACGACCAACTATTCCATCTTACGACTAACTATTCCATCTTACGATCAACCAAACCATCTTACGACCAACTATTCCATCTTACGACCAACTATTCCATCTTACGACTAACTATTCCATCTTACGACCAACTATTCCATCTTACGACCAACTATTCCATCGTACTATATTACGAAACTATATCTTAGTCTCATCTTACGAGCAACTATTCCATCTTACGACTAACTATTCCATCTTACGACCAACTATTCCATCTTACGAACACCAACTATTCCATCTTACGACCTAACTATCCATCTTACGACCAACTTTTTCCAACTTTGTTTTTAGACAGGCATCGTTGACTTCGAGTGATATCCTAAGATGCCTCTCTATGAATCAAATTGTCATACTTTTGTGTTTTTATTTCTCTTGAAAAGGCTTAAATTGTATTGGCTGAATAAATCCAGTTGCAGATATTTTATTAAATAATTAGCGAAATTAATTTCGAAGTGGATTGAGTAATTTTTAAATTTCATTGGTACGATATTATTGATTAAATTATTATGTGATCAAAATTTAGGGGCAGAGTTAAAGATTTTTTATTAAATTTAATTTAAAAAAAATTGTCGGAATTAGTTGGATTCGAAGTAATTGTCATTGAGAACGTCTTTCATGTTTGACTCACGTATAATATCAAGAAAGATTTCTAATGTTGTAATCCAATACAGGGAGTATCCTTGCTCAGGTCTCGCGCCAAACTCGAAGTATATTTTTTACAGCTGTTGAGAGTATGCTGCGTGATATTGTACATGTTTGCGTCAAAACAGTGTCGGGAGTATTGTGTGGTGTGCAACGTGTGGTCCAAAACAGGTGCCGTGAGTACTGCTGTGGTGTGACACGTGCGGTCAAAACAGCTGTCGTGAGTATTGTTGTGGTGTGACACGTGCGGTCAAAACAGTGCGTGAGTATGTTGTGGTGTGAGACAGTGCGTCAAAACAGCTGTAGTGAGTACTGTTGTGGTGTGACACGTGCAGTCAAAACAGCTGGTGAGTATTGTTGTGGTGTGACACGTGCGGTCAAAACAGCTGTCGGAGTATTGTTGTGGTGTGACACGTCGGTCAAAAACAGCTGTCGTGAGTACTGCTGTGGTGTGTCACGTGCGGTCAAAACAGCTGTCGTGAGTATTGTTGTGGTGTGACACGTGCGGTCAAAACAAGCTGTCTGAGTATTGTTGTGGTGTGACAAGTGCGGCCAAAACAGCTGTCGTGAGTATGCTGTGGTGTGACGTGCGGCCAAAACAGCTGTCGTGAGTATTGTTGTGGTGTGGCACGTGTGGTCAAAACAGGTGTCGTGAGTACTGCTGTGGTGTGACACGTGCGGTCAAAACAAGTGTCATGAGTATTGTTGTGGTGTGGCACGTGCGGTCAAAACAGTTGCCGTGAGTACTGCTGTGGTGTGGACGTGCTGCCCAAAACAGCTGTCTGAGTAATTGTGTGGTGGACACGAGCAGTCAAAACAGCTGTAGTGAGTATTGTTGTGGTGCGACACGTGCGGCCAAAACAGCTGTCGTGAGTATTGTTGTGGTGTGACACGTACGGTCAAAACAGCTGTCGTGAGTACTGTTGTGGTGTGACACGTGCGGTCAAAACAGGTGTCGTGAGTACTGTTGTGGTGTGACACGTGCGGTCAAAACAAGTTGTCTGAGTATTGTTGTGTGTGACAACTGCGGTAAAACAGTTGTCGTGAGTATGCTGTGGTGTGACGCTGCGGTCAAAACAGCTGTGGGTGAGTACTGTTGTGGTGTGACACGTGCGGTCAAAACAGCTGTCGTGAGTATTGCTGTGGTGTGACACGTGCGGTCAAAACAGCTGTCGTGAGTACTGTTGTGGTGTGACACGTGCGGTCAAAACAGCTGTCGTGAGTACTGCTGTGGTGTGACACGTGCGGTCAAAACAAGTGTCATGAGTATTGTTGTGGTGTGACACGAGCGGTCAAAACAGGTGTTGTGAGTACTGTTGTGGTGTGACACGAGCGGTCAAAACAGCTGTCGTGAGTACTGTTGTGGTGTGACACGTGCGGTTAAAACAGTTGTCGTGAGTACTGCTGTGGTGCGACACGTGCGGTCAAAACAGGTGTCGTGAGATCTGTTGTGGTGTGACACGTGCGGTCAAAACAGTTGTCGTGAGTACTGTTGTGGTGTGACACGTGCGGTTAAAACAGTTGTCATGAGTATTGTTGTGGTGTGACACGTGCGGTCAAAACAGCTGTCGTGAGTATTGTTGTGGTGTGACACGTGCGGTCAAAACAGCTGTCGTGAGTACTGTTGTGGTGTGACACGTGCGGTTAAAACAGTTGTCGTGAGTACTGCTGTGGTGCGACACGTGCGGTCAAAACAGCTGTCGTGAGTACTGCTGTGGTGTGACAGGAGCGGTCAAAACAGTTGTCGTGAGTATTGCTGTTGTGTGACACGTGCGGTCAAAACAGCTGTCGTGAGTACTGTTGTGGTGTGACTCGTGCGGTCAAAACAGGTGTCGTGAGTACTGTTGTGGTGTGACACGTGCGGTTAAAACAGTTGTCGTGAGTACTGCTGTGCTGCGACACGTGCGGTCAAAACAGCTGTCGTGAGTACTGCTGTGGTGTGACACGAGCGGTCAAAACAGTTGTCGTGAGTATTGCTGTTGTGTGACACGTGCGGTCAAAACAGCTGTCGTGAGTACTGTTGTGGTGTGACACGTGCTGTCAAAACAGGTGTCGTGAGTACTGTTGTGGTGTGACACGAGCGGTCAAAACAGTTGTCGTGAGTATTGCTGTGGTGTGACACGTGCGGTCAAAACAGCTGTCGTGAGTATTGCTGTGGTGTGACACGTGCGGTCAAAACAGCTGTCGTGAGTATTGCTGTGGTGTAACACGTGCGGTCAAAACAGCTGTCGTGAGTACTGTTGTGGTGTGACACGTGCGGTCAAAACAGCTGTCGTGAGTACTGTTGTGGTGTGACACGTGCGGTTAAAACAGTTGTCGTGAGTTCTGCTGTGGTGCGACACGTGCGGTCAAAACAGCTATCGTGAGTACTGCTGTGGTGTGACACGAGCGGTCAAAACAGTTGTCGTGAGTATTGCTGTGGTGTGACACGAGCGGTCAAAACAGCTGTCGTGAGTACTGTTGTGGTGTGACACGTGCGGTCAAAACAGCTGTCGTGAGTACTGTTGTGGTGTGACACGAGCGGTCAAAACAGCTGTCGTGAGTATTGCTGTGGTGTGACACGTGCGGTCAAAACAGATGTCGTGAGTATTGTTGTGGTGTGACACGTATGGTCAAAACAGGTGTCGTGAGTACTCTTGTGGTGTGACACGTGCGGTCAAAACAAGTGTCATGAGTATTGTGGTGTGACACGTGCGGTCAAAACAGTTGTCGCGAGTACTGTTGTGTTGTGACATGTGCGGTCAAAACAGCTGTCGTGAGTATTGCAGTGGTGTGACACGTGCGGTCAAAACAGCTGTCGTGAGTACTGCTGTGGTGTGACGCGTTCGGTCAAAACAGCTGTTGTGAGTACTGTTGTGGTGTTACACGTGCGGTCAAAACAGGTGTCGTGAGTATTGTTGTGGTGTGACACGTGTGGTCAAAACAGGTGTCGTGAGTACTGCTGTGGTGTGTCACGTGCGGTCAAAACAACTGTCGTGAGTATTGCTGTGGTGTGACACTTGCGATCAAAACAGCTGTCGTGAGTATTGTTGTGGTGTGACACGTGCGGTCAAAACAGCTGTAGTGAGTACTGTTGTGGTGTGACACGTGCGGTCAAAACAGCTGTAGTGAGTACTGTTGTGGTGTGACACGTGCGGTCAAAACAGCTGTAGTGAGTACTGTTGTGGTGTGACATATTTGGAGGGTTTAAATAAACCAAAGTAAGCAGAATAAATTCTATTGGGTCACAAGATACATTACAATCAGTGCAAAAATCAGTACACACTACATTACATGTAGTTTGACGTAGAAATATTTAATGTTTTGATAATATATTTGGTGCAGTGGGTGAGATGTGTCTTGTAATACACATTACACTATACAGGAGCCTCCGTGTAATACACATTACACTGTACAGGAGCCTCCGTGTAATACACATTACAGTGTACAGGACTCTCCGTGTAATACACATTGCACTGTACAGGAGCCTCCGTGTAATACAAGATCTGTAAGATTAGCCATGACAAGATCTGGTAACTCGGCTGTCACAGCCTATACACAAACTGTTAACGCGAAAATATATGATAATTTGTAAAAGCCTCTAAAATTACGATGCAGTTTGCGATGTCCAAGTACCGTAACTCATACTCGAGTGTTCTCTCGGTGTTTTAACATTCGCTGCGGTCATAAAAACTGTTATAAAACTGTGGTGTCAGTAAGATTTGCTGCCGTGCAGATGCCCATTATTTTTTCCCCGTATTTTTACTCAAACATCAGCGGAATATTCGCCAAGCTGCAAAGTTTCAAGAGATTTCCAAATCCTCGATTGTTTGGTGTTTGTTACAGCAGGTGAGGGGTCTTGATACCAGCACTGGTAGAAGTTGCAATAGCACACCTGTTTGTTGCACTACATGCCGAAGTTGGAATATTTTATATACTTTTACTAGAACCAAAACATCACAAGTTTTTTCATTTAATTTTATTATTCTTATAATCTCCTTCTCCTTCCGGGAGGACCACCACCCTGTCCGGGATTTCCTGCCGGTCCTGGTGACCCTGGAGGGCCTACTGGTCCAACTGACCCTGCAGGTCCAGGGCTGCCGGCAGGGCCTGAAGGTCCTATTGATCCTGCAGGTCCAGCAGGTCCTATAGGTCCAGGGGCTCCTGTAGCCCCTTCAGGTCCTGCTGGCCCTGGGGATCCCGGTGAGCCTTGAGGACCTGGGCTGCCATTAGCACCAGAAGGACCTGGTGGTCCAGCAGCTCCGTTAGTGCCATTAGTACCAGCAGGGCCAGCAGGACCAGGAGGACCTGGCGGTCCTACTGAACCATTTGTGCCGGGAACACCATTAACACCATTGGTACCGTTCATGCCATTAGTACCATTTAAACCGGAAGGACCGGGAGGACCCATAGGGCCTTTATCTCCTGGAGGACCTCGAGGCCCTGGAGAACCAGCAACACCAGGAGCCCCAGAAACACCTGAAGCACCAGGAGCACCGGACGCACCAGGAGCACCGGATGCACCAGGAGCACCGGATGCACCAGGAGCACCGGATGCACCAGGAGCACCAGCAGACCCATTATTACCAGGAGAGCCAGTAGGCCCATTATTTCCAGGAGGGCCAGGAGAACCTGGAGCACCAGCAGGTCCAGAAGAGCCAGGAGACCCATTAGCTCCAGAAGGGCCAGGAGATCCATTAGCTCCAGGAGCACCAGAAGCACCAGAAGGTCCATTAGATCCAGGACGACCAGGAGCACCAGAAACACCAGGAGAGCCATTAGATCCAGGACGACCAGGAGCACCAGAAACACCAGAAGAGCCATTAGATCCAGGAGGACCAGCAGAACCAGGAGAGCCATTAGATCCTGAAGGACCTGGAGGACCAGGAACACCAGGAGCTCCTGCTTGACCTGGAGGTCCTGGGGGTCCAGGAAGGCCCACAATACCACCACCGTGTCCACCGTGTGAGGATTCACCGCTACCAGTACCTGCAAAAAAAAGTGTGATAGCCAAGGGTGACAAACTAGTGCAAGACGTCGATTATCAATTAATTAGTCCATAATCTAGTATTTACTCAACATGTTAAAAAGACTCTGAGGTTTAACATCAATGTGGAGGTGAGTAAAGACGAGAAGCTTTACACAAATACTGACTATAACAATAACTTTGGTAATCTTGCAACCTTAGTTATCGCTTCAAATATCAATCTTAACTCTTAAACATTGTAAGTGTTTGGCAGCCAAAGAGTGAGCCCGAAAGAGAGCTAAAATGTAACTAGTAGTGAGCTATCATTTGCTTAGACAGTGAAAATAAATGCAAGGTGAGCTATCAGTTCCCGATGTGCTCTTAACGTTGTTTGTGGCTTTCTTACTTCACGCACAAACTTTGATTTTATTAATCGCAAAACCTGTCTCGTGCAACACCATACAACTTTTGTACAGCTTACTACTTCCATCGTACTGTCATTATTTACACACAGCCTTTATTCTCCACCGTTCGTTCCGCACTGATCACTACCTGACTTTAGCATATTTCGTGAGTCTTAAAATAACCAGAAATCTTTGTATTATTACCTCATGCACACGACTATACGTTTATCGAAATACTCACAGCATTTTTCTCCCTTGGAGCAACCCTTGGCTTTGTGTTTCTTGCACTTTGTCTTCTTGTGGGCACAAAATCCACCGACGCCATTACAGTCCTTCTCTCTTCCGTATGAACCACCGGCTCTCATTTTCTTCAGCTTTCCTTTGCGCTCCTTCAATTTATGTGAATTGCCATTAATTTTCTTAGTGTGCTTATGATTCCTCCGGTGTTGTTTTCTCTTCTTAATTTTCATCTTCCTTCTGCTTTTATGTATCTTTCTTTCGTCGTTTTCGCTAGAGGAGAATGTTCACCAGTGCACTTGCAACATAAGTGCTCTGTGAGTTAGCATCCTCACAGAGCTTTCGAATAAGTGTCAAACTTTTCTCACCCACACATTGAGACATGCCTACTGACCCTTGCATGGGGCGTGGTGCAGTGTTGAGTGCGTACAGCTTTGATGCGTCAGAGTGCGTTGCAGTGTGGCACGTGCGTGACTTAGCAGTGATTGCGTGCAGTGTGCTGTACATGCCAGTGTGATGAGTCCGTCCAGTGAGGGCGTTGCGTTGTTGAGAGCGTCAAGCATGTGTTGAGAGCGTGCAGTGTGAGACCCGTTGCATGTGGGCGTGCAGTGTGAGGACTGCAGTGTGAGAGCGTGCAGTGTAGGACGTGCAGTGTGAGAGGTGCATTTTGTCAGGCTTGCGTGTGAGCGTGCAGTGTGAGAGCTAGATTGCAGTGTGAGAGCGTTGCAGTGTGAGAGCGTGCATGTGAGAGCGTGCAGTGTGAGAGCGTGCAGTGTGAGAGCGTGCATTGTGAGAGCGTGCAGTGTGAGGCGTGCAGTGTAGCGTGCAGTGTGGAGAGACGTGCAGTGTGAGAGCTGCAGTGGAGGACGTGCAGTGTGAGAGCGTGCATGTGTGAGAGGTGCAGTGTGAGACGTGCAGTGTGAGAGCGTGCAGTGTGAGATCGTGCAGTGAGTGCGGTGCAGTGTGAGGCGTGCAGTGTGAGTGCGTGCAGTGTGAGGCGTGCAGTGTGAGAGCGTGCAGTGTGAGGACGTGCAGTGTGAGAGCGTGCAGTGTGAGGGCGTGCAGTGTGAGAGCGTGCAGTGTGAGAGCGTGCAGTGTGAGAGCGTGCAGTGTGAGAGCGTGCAGTGTGAGAGCGTGCAGTGTGAGAGCGTGCAGTGTGAGGGCGTGCAGCGTGAGAGCGTGCAGTGTGAGGACGTGCAGTGTGAGAGCGTGCAGTGTGAGGACGTGCAGTGTGAGAGCGTGCAGTGTGAGGACGTGCAGTGTGAGAGCGTGCAGTGTGAGAGCGTGCAGTGTGAGAGCGTGCAGTGTGAGAGCGTGCAGTGTGAGAGCGTGCAGTGTGAGAGCGTGCAGTGTGAGAGCGTGCAGTGTGAGGGCGTGCAGTGTGAGGACGTGCAGTGTGAGGACGTGCAGTCTGAACTATTCAGTGTAGATGAGTGTGAGTAAAGTCAGTGTGAGTAGGTGCAGGTGAATACACAGTTTTATCAACGTGAGTATAACTCAGTTGTTTCAAGGTGAGTATACACAGTTTTATCAAGGTGATAACACAGTTTATCAACGTGATATACACAGTTTTATCAAGGTGATATACACAGTTTTATCAACGTGATATACACAGTTTTATCAACGTGATATACACAGTTTTATCAACGTGATATAACCAGTTTTATCACGTGATATCACAGTTATGAACGTGATTACACAGTTTTATTCAACGTGATATACACAGTTTTATCAACGTGATTAACACAGTTTAGTAAACGTGATATACACAGTTTATCAACGTGATTATACACAGTTTTATCAACGTGATATACACAGTTTTATCAACGTGATATACACGTTTTATCAACGTGATATACACAGTTTATCACATGATATACACAGTTTTATCAACGTGATATAACACAGTTTTATCAACGTGATATACACAGTTTTATCAACGTGATATACACAGTTTTATCAACGTGATATACACAGTTTTATCAACGTGATATACACAGTTTTATCAACGTGATATACACAGTTTTATCAACGTGATATACACAGTTTTATCAACGTGATATACACAGTTTTATCAACGTAATATACACAGTTTTATCAACGTGATATACACAGTTTTATCAACGTGATATACACAGTTTTATCAACGTGATATACACAGTTTTATCAACGTGATATACACAGTTTTATCAAGGTGATATACACAGTTTTATCAACGTGATATACACAGTTTTATCAAGTGATATACACAGTTTTATCAACGTGATATACACAGTTTTATCAACGTGATATACACAGTTTTATCAACGTGATATACACAGTTTTATCAACGTAATATACACAGTTTTATCAACGTGATATACACAGTTTTATCAAGGTGATATACACAGTTTTATCAACGTGATATACACAGTTTTATCAACGTGATATACACAGTTTTATCAACGTGATATACACAGTTTTATCAACGTAATATACACAGTTTTATCAACGTGATATACACAGTTTTATCAACGTGATATACACAGTTTTATCAACGTGATATACACAGTTTTATCAACGTGATATACACAGTTTTATCAAGGTGATATACACAGTTTTATCAACGTGATATACACAGTTTTATCAAGGTGATATACACAGTTTTATCAACGTGATATACACAGTTTTATCAACGTGATATACACAGTTTTATCAACGTGATATACACAGTTTTATCAACGTGATATACACAGTTTTATCAACGTGATATACACAGTTTGATAGCATATGTCCCTCCACAAACGTTTACAGTTTCCTTCAATAATTCCAGCTAAGTATTTCTTCGTTTAAGATTTATAACAACAAATGTCTTGTTAGTGATATTCACAAATGAGTCAGAATCTCTTACATAAAATATCAGAGAAGAATACGAAGGCACAACACCGTGACTGGTACAATACACAAAAAAAAACAAGGACAAAAGAGAATGGAACTTACAATGTTCGGGTCAGAGTTCGACCACCAACTAATCCCACAGAAAACCCGTGTGACTAGTTAATGTTGCAAGTCTGACCGAAACGTCGTCATAAGTGGCATTCTCCCACGTGTGGGTTGTTTGTGTGTAAATACTCACCATTTGTTGGCGTCATGCAGCAGACTTGATCATCCTTCCTGCAGACATGTTGAGACAACGGAACTTCACATTGTTGGGCAGACAGACAGCGTCCACCAGCCTCAACACAGTCAGTCTTGGTGTCCTGCACAACCACGTAACAACACTTATACTCATCACCTTTATAAGTTACCTTATTTTTGAGTGGTAGTTTTTCATCATAATAAGTATCTACGTTATTGAATAATCTGTGAAAATATCAGCTGGTTAAACTGCTAAAATATTAATATGTAAGTTGTCAAAAAAAAAAAAATCAGGAAAACGATCTTATACAGCATTTGAATCACTTTGATGAAAGAATATGCCTTTTATAAACGCTTAAATGCGACAAAAAATTATTTTATCCACATATTTCATCCCTTATATTTTTTGTTAATGTAAACACTTGGTCACGCATCTTTGCAATCCTAATTTCTGTCTTTCCTTTAATTCTTTCAATTATACAGTAACTTGGCCATACATTTTACCAGGTACACTCACCAGGTTTATTTCCTTATAATTCTTATACTCTCTTTTAACCCCTTTTCTCTTATACAAATTATATACACTCTCTTCCAATCCCTGAGTGGATAACCCTTCCCTTCTTTCATGTTTATATATATATATATATATATATTAATATATATATATATATATATATATATATATATATATATATATATAATATATATGTATCTGTCTTGATGGCATGTTTTTCAGTTGATATACTGCTGGCTTTGTATACACCGCCTCACGCATCTCCCCCACACTCACACCTGGTTCTTGCTCGGTTCAACAAGATGTTATACCTCTCTGTCTACTGCATGGAACCACTGACTCCCTTGCTTCATCAACTTTTAACAACTCCTCAAGATATTCCTCTCCGTTTTCCCAGTATCTTCACCTCCGTATCTAATGTCTTCTCTCTTTTGTTTTTAATTGGTAAATACATTTGTTCATTAGACTTTCTCAGATTATTAACCTCGCTCTAAAACTTCTTAGGGTTGTTGTTAATATTTCACCTATTCCCCCTTTATCTCTTCATTTGCACTCCATCACTCTTTTAACCTCTCTTTTCATATACTCCTTCCCTCCCCCCATCCATAAATCACTTTAACTTTCTAAAATGCTCTCGTATGTTAACTTTTTCTCCATTGCCAAACTTCTTTTCTTTCTGGCAGCCACTCTCTCTTATATACCCACAAACTTCTATTGCACGTTATAACATTGTATTCTTAAATCTACCCCCACACCTTCTCGACTCCTTCCTTATTCCCTGTACTCTCTCTAGTTCATCCTTTTTCCAGTAGTTGCTTATATGTTACTTTATCTCCTTTATTTTAATCACACATTCGCTTCATCTTTACCCACGGATGACGTTCTCCTTTTATTTCATCTACGTCTTATTCTTCAAGGTAGCTACTACTTAACAATTATCTGATATATCTGTCAACTTTTTAAAATTACGCACATCCAGAAGTCTACTCATCAGCCTTTTATCTATTAATACATATGCCAGTAAATTAATATCATTACGCCCTATATCATATATCTTGTGCTTATTCACTCACTTTCACTCCTGACACTCCAAACTTAGAGTATTTACTATATATATATATATATATATATATATATATATATATATATATATATATATATATATATTATATATAATATATATATATAAGGCACATGTGTCTTGTTTCCTGACAAATATTGTACCAACAACCTAAGATATACGTCAGGAAACAAAAGTCTTGTTTAATGACAAACCTTACCTCACCTAACAATCTAAATTCGGGATACATAAAGCGATCAGTATAACGAAGGAAGACGAACTATGAGAAAGTGAGGTGAGGTGAGGTGAGGTGAGGGGGAGGGTCTCACGAAATCATCCTTACACAATGGGTAAACATCACAACACAGGCTGGGACTTGTACCCATGGTAGAATTATTATTATAATCATAAATAAGCGCTAAACCTTTAAGGTCATACAGCACTGACCCATGGTAGGAGAGTCCTGAAACACAGGCCATCAGAGTAAATCTACTATGAACCTTGAGGGCTCCTAATCCCGGAGGGGCCCCAGGAGCGTCTGTAGTCCACATTGCTGAAAAATTTTAAGTCTACTGCATGAGGAGTTGCGAAGGGGCCCCACACAACAGTTCAAACTTCAGGGCCCCAAAAATGTAGGTCCGGCACTGCAGGCCAGAGTTGTAACCAGTGGTCAGTGCAAGATGAGGTGTTTATTAGCACACACTGAGTACTGGAGCATGATCCTTTGTGAGATAACACTGATAACAGTGCTTTACACACTTTTTAATATATAACCTAAAAAAATGTTATCTTTCAATAGGTCATGTGAGTGCCAGAAGGATCTATTATGTACTTCCATTAAACCCCCCTCCCCAGGATGCCACCTACAGGAGTCTGCTAAGATCCGGGAACCTCTTTGTCACTACTAGGTGAACTAGAGCGATGGGTTTAAGGCGACATGTTATAGACTCTACCTGCCCTAGGATCGAACCCGCGTCCTTTGGTTGTGAGTCGGAGGTCATGAACCACCTAACCAAGATGGTGAGAAATATGACAATAAATACCTGACGGTGTTGGACAGTCTTTGAACACTAAGCAGCTGTAACAGTACATTAGATTTTAGATATTGGAGTAACCACACTCTAGAACCTAGATTTTTAAAATAGCAACACTTTAGAATTTAGATTTTAGAAATTACTAAGGAACTTTGATTTCAGAGTAAACTAGGGAAGCCCTCAAGATATCACTTCTAACTCCTATGCCAAGAACTAACCTCAGCCTGTACCAGACCAGCCAGCATCACCAACAGCAGCAGCGGCAGCAGCAGCAACCTCCCAGCAAGCACTACCATCTTTCTGGATCAGTCGCTAACTGTGTTCCAGCAGACCGGAAAGCCATTTTTATAGCTCTGGTGCAGTCCATACTACACATGCGCAGTTCCCCAAAATACAAGTGTTAAAAGATATGCATGAGAGGGTGGTTGAACTTTAGTTTTATCGTATATTTCAGTCTCACCTGATGATCATATCATATATAGGAACACCTGTCTAAATCTCCTGCCACGAAGTGTACATCTGTTGTTATTGCGTCATATATATGGTACATAGATTACTTTATAATTTCCTCAGAGTAAACATGAGTGACTGTAATCATGGTATAGAAATATTAATTCTAAAATATTAGCAGGGATAACGAATAGTTTGGAAAACAAAATATCATTTTTTTTCTGACAAACCTTAGCTAATCTAACCTAACCTAACCTTACCTAACCTAACCTAACCTAACCTTACCTAACCTAACCTAACCTAACCTAACCTAACCTTACCTAACCTAACCTAACCTAACCTAACCTAACCTAACCTTACCTAACCTAACCTAACCTAACACTAACTACCTACCTAACCTTAACCTAACCTAACCTAACCTTACCTAACCTAACCTTACCTAACTAACCTAACCTAACCTAACCTAACCTAACAACCTTAAACCTAACCTAACCTAACCTTACCTAACCCTAACCTAACCTAACCTAACCTAACCTTACTAACCTAACCTAACCTAACCTAACCCTAATAACCTAAACCTACTAACCTAAACTAACCTAACCTTACCTAACCTAACCTACCTAACCTAACCTAACCTAACCTAACTACCTAACCTAAACCTACTAACCTAACCTTAACCTAACCTAACCTAACTAACCTAACCTAACACCTAACCTAACCTAACCTTACCTAACCTAACCTAACCTAACCTAACCTAACCTAACCTAACCTAACCTTACCTAAACCTAACCTACCTAACCTAACCTAAACCTAACTAACCTAACCTAACCTAACCTAACCTAACCTAACCTAACCTATACCTAACCTAACCTAACCTTACCTAACCTAACCTAACCTAACCTAACCTAACCTAACCATCTACCTAACCTAACCTAATACTCCCTAACCTAACCTAACCTAACTAACCTAACCTACAACCTAACCTATAACCTACACCTAACCTAACCTAACTAACCTAACCTAACCTTACCAAACCTAACCAAATAACCTAACCTAACCTAACCTAACCTACCTAACCTAAACCTACCTATACCTAACCTAACCTAACCTAACCTAACCTAACCTAACCTATTACAACTAACCTAACCATAACCTAACCTAACCTAACCTAACCTAACCTAACCTTACCTAACCTAACCTAAACCTAAACCTAACCTAACCTAACCTAACCTAACCTAACCTAATACTAACCTACAACCTAACCTAATCCTAACCTAACCTACTAACCTACCAACCAACCTAACTAACCTAACCTAACCTAACTAACCTACCAACCTAAACCACCTAACCTAACCTAACCTAACCTAACCTAAACCTAACCTAACCTAACCTAACCTAACCTAACCTAACCGAACCTAACCTAACCTAACCTAACCTAACCTTACCTAACCTTACCTAACCTAACCTAACCTAACCTAACCAAACCTAACCTAACCTAACCTAACCTAACCTTGCCTAACCTAACCTAACCTAACCTAACCTAACCTAACCTTGCCTAACCTAACCTAACCTAACCTAAACTAACGAGCCATAACCTTTCTTGAATTGTTAGCTTGTAAAAACCACTGCTAAGGTGAGGCGCTTCCTGCTAATTCTGGACAACGTTTGAGTATTAACCTGGTTGTTAAGACACATAGGCAACACTTAAGCAACTTTAATCCGAAACGTTTCACCTACACAGTAGGCTTCTTCAGTCTAGTACAGAAAGTAGGTAGGAGCAGTAGAGATGTGAAGACGCTCTCACACTGCACGCTCTCACACTGCACGCTCTCACACTGCACGCTCTCACACTGCACGCTCTCACACTGCACGCTCTCACACTGCACGCTCACACTGCACGCTCTCACACTGCACGCTCTCACACTGCACGCTCTCACACTGCACGCTCACACTGCACGCTCTCACACTGCACGCTCTCACACTGCACGCTCACACTGCACGCTCTCACACTGCACGCTCTCACACTGCACGCCCTCACACTGCACGCCCTCACACTGCACGCTCTCACACTGCACGCTCTCACACTGCACGCTCTCACACTGCACGCTCTCACACTGCACGCTCACACTGCACGCTCTCACACTGCACGCTCACACTGCACGCTCTCACACTGCACGCTCACACTGCACGCTCTCACACTGCACGCCCTCACACTGCACGCTCTCACACTGCACGCTCTCACACTGCACGCTCTCACACTGCACGCTCTCACACTGCACGCCCTCACACTGCACGCTCTCACACTGCACGCTCTCACACTGCACGCTCTCACACTGCACGCTCTCACACTGCACGCCCTCACACTGCACGCTCTCACACTGCACGCTCACACTGCACGCTCTCACACTGCACGCCCTCACACTGCACGCCCTCACACTGCACGCTCTCACACTGCACGCTCTCACACTGCACGCTCTCACACTGCACGCCCCTCACACTGCACGCTCTCACACTGCACGCTCTCACACTGCACGCTCACACTGCACGCTCTCACACTGCACGCCCTCAAACTGCACGCTCTCACACTGCACGCTCACACTGCACGCTCTCACACTGCACGCTCTGACACTGCACGCTCTGACACTGCACGCTCTCACACTGCACGCTCTCACACTGCACGCTCTCACACTGCACGCTCTCACACTGCACGCTCACACTGCACGCTCTCACACTGCACGCCCTCACACTGCACGCCCTCACACTGCACGCTCTCACACTGCACGCTCACACTGCACGCTCTCACACTGCACGCTCTCACACTGCACGCTCTCACACTGCACGCTCTCACACTGCACGCTCTCACACTGCACGCTCTCACACTGCACGCTCACACTGCACGTCCTCACACTGCACGCTCTCACACTGCACGCCCTCACACTGCACGCTCTCACACTGCACGCTCTCACACTGCACGCTCTCACACTGCACGCCCTCACACTGGACGCTCTCACACTGCACGCTCTCACACTGCACGCTCTCACACTGCACGCTCTCACACTGCACGCTCTCACACTGCACGCTCTCCACACTGCACGCTCTCACACTGCACGCTCTCACACTGCACGCTCTCACACTGCACGCTCTCACACTGCACGCTCTCACACTGCACGCTCTCACACTGCACGCTCTCACACTGCACGCTCTCACACTGCACGCTCTCACACTGCACGCTCTCACACTGCACGCTCTCACACTGCACGCCCTCACACTGCACGCTCTCACACTGCACGCCCTCACGCTGCACGAACTCACACTGCACGCTCTCACACTGCACGCCCTCACGCTGCACGCCCTCACACTGCACGCTCTCACACTGCACGCTCTCACACTGCACGCTCTCACACTGCACGCCCTCACACTGCACGCTCTCACACTGCACGCCCTCACACTGCACGCCCTCACGCTTCACGCTCTCACACTGCACGCTCTCACACTGCACGCTCTCACACTGCACGCTCTCACACTGCACGCTCTCACACTGCACGCTCTCACAATGCACGCCCTCACACTGCACGCTCTCACACTGCACGCTCACACTGCACGCTCTCACACTGCACGCTCTCACACTGCACGCTCTCACACTGCACGCTCTCACACTGCACGCTCTCACTCTGCACGCACTCAAACTACACGCACTCAACACTGCACCACGCACCTCATGCAAGGATACAGTGGATTGTCTCTTGTGTGGGGGAAAAGTGTGACCTGTCTTCCGACAGCGTCTGTGAGGATGCTAACTCACAGATGCTCTTATTTGCAAGTTGCACTGGTGACATTCTCTCCTAGCAGAAAACGACGAAAGAAAGATACATAAAAGCAGAAGGAAGATGAAAATTAAGAAGAGAAAACAACACCGGAGGAATCATAAGCACACTAAGAAAATTAATGGCAATTCACATAAATTGAAGGAGCGCAAAGTAAAGCTGAAGAAAATGAGAGCCGGTGGTTCATACGGAAGAGAGAAGGACTGTAATGGCGTCGGTGGATTTTGTGCCCACAAGAAGACAAAGTGCAAGAAACACAAAGCCAAGGGTTGCTCCAAGGGAGAAAAATGCTGTGAGTATTTCGATAAACGTATAGTCGTGTGCATGAGGTAATAATACAAAGATTTCTGGTTATTTTAAGACTCACGAAATATGCTAAAGTCAGGTAGTGATCAGTGCGGAACGAACGGTGGAGAATAAAGGCTGTGTGTAAATAATGACAGTACGATGGAAGTAGTAAGCTGTACAAAAGTTGTATGGTGTTGCACGAGACAGGTTTTGCGATTAATAAAATCAAAGTTTGTGCGTGAAGTAAGAAAGCCACAAACAACGTTAAGAGCACATCGGGAACTGATAGCTCACCTTGCATTTATTTTCACTGTCTAAGCAAATGATAGCTCACTACTAGTTACATTTTAGCTCTCTTTCGGGCTCACTCTTTGGCTGCCAAACACTTACAATGTTTAAGAGTTAAGATTGATATTTGAAGCGATAACTAAGGTTGCAAGATTACCAAAGTTATTGTTATAGTCAGTATTTGTGTAAAGCTTCTCGTCTTTACTCACCTCCACATTGATGTTAAACCTCAGAGTCTTTTTAACATGTTGAGTAAATACTAGATTATGGACTAATTAATTAATAATCGACGTCTTGCACTAGTTTGTCACCCTTGGCTATCACACTTTTTTTTGCAGGTACTGGTAGCGGTGAATCCTCACACGGTGGACACGGTGGTGGTATTGTGGGCCTTCCTGGACCCCCAGGACCTCCAGGTCAAGCAGGAGCTCCTGGTGTTCCTGGTCCTCCAGGTCCTTCAGGATCTAATGGCTCTCCTGGTTCTGCTGGTCCTC